GTGATGGGCCATATACGAGCACAATATTCACATTTGTTTATAGAATTTGCTTTGAAGCACAACATGCAAACCTGCACCCAGGTAAAACATGGACAATGATACGGCGTTACAGCACCACCTCCTTGATCTTAGAGGTCGAAGAGGGGCATTTCAGACAGACAAATACTAAAGGCCAGTGGCTTGTTTAAACAGTCTCTTAGACGTATAGCAGCGATGGACAGAATCATAGCGCCGTGTAGATCTGTAAATTTAGACATATTAACAACCTGCTCTTGCCTACCCTGCCCTTACCTATAGAAAGAACTTCCACACTGAAGAAGCATGAGAAAATATGACAGCAATGGAAGCAAACGCGGTCTTAACGAAACATCATTGAACAAAACTACAAATTTAAGTCACCAAAAATGATTACGTTTCATATACGCATAAGTTCTCCAAGACTTCACTTACTGCACCATTCCCTTGCATCTGTTGTTTGAGGGGCATTTAAGTAGGCTGTAGCTCTAGAGCATTTGAGCATCTAAGCATCTACAGTGCTAGATGCATTTCGCATCAAGTTGTTCACTACAGCCACCTCGCCTCATTAGAACGATGTTTCATGAGCTGGTACATCCTACATTCAACCGCATAAGCATCAAAGTATGCTCGCACACCAGAGAATGTCAAAAAAATGCGTACCTCCTCCAAAACCAGCTTTCATTGCGTATTGCAGCGTTCCTTGCTTGCAGGGGTTATGCGCTATCTAACATACTCCGGTGTACGGACATAATTTGATGTTTATGCGGTAAGATCAGGTTATACAATATCATGCTGCTTTATACTGGTACAGTGAAATAGCCATAAGGTAAACGGTAAGTACGTGCAGTTAGCATACTGAGAGGAGTGAGTGAGTGCCACTATGCTAGGGCTGGGTAAAAAATAAATGGCTAACTTTGCTAAGGGGGCAACTGGCAGCGAGACTGCGGACAGAACAGACAACTGGTGAGCAACGAATCTGACCTGTAGTGAATTTATAGTCTGGGTAGATTTTTTGTTCTTTTTGTCGAACATCTGGCGAACGCGCATCATCTGAGGGTTGTCCGGAGCGACGACACTGACGCTGGACGTCAAGCGAAGGAACTCTTCGACGTCGGCTAGAAAAGCGCGCAAAAGTGACGATGAGAGAATGCAAACGGAAGACAAAATGACTTGCGACCTTACCTTCCTTCGACTTCACCGCCACCTTGATTTTTTCGCCCACCAGCTCAATTTTGCGCAACAACCGCTCTTTTTCGTCCTCATACTCATTCACGTGGCCGACGACGCTCTTGTCGCTGGACACGCTGTCCAAATGCTGCGACTGTGAACCTTCCACCTACGAATACAACGGTCACCATTGATACATACGATCGCGAAACAGCAGCAAAAACGAAACACAGCAGCGCCGCCACTGGTCACCACGATGAGCCATACGTCATCAATTTCCAAGCCAAACATCACATCCTGCCAAGCCGGCGACAACGTCGACGACTGAGGATCGGCAGCGGCGGTCATTGCGCACATCGAAACCGATGAATTCGGCACAAACTTGGTAACAGTGTTCTCGATCTAAATGTCAGTCCGTCAAAACGTGCCACAGACATCGCGAGCATCAAACAGTTCTAACCAGTTGATCAACCCATCAGAGTGACCGCACACCCTCCCCAATCGCCCATCACACCACTCACCATCGCACAACCACACAGTTTAAGTGACGCGATCGTTAAATGATGCTTTCAATCAATAATTCAAGAAAACTTTATGATTCATCGACAAATGAGGTAAATCAAAGCGGAATATTCTGTGACATTCTTGTTCAGGTACCTGATCAGTGGACGTTACTGTGGCTAGCAACGATATCCCGGAGAGTACGTCAACTCTAGAGAGCTACAACAAAGCCAAACGATGACAACCACGTACGTATCGTGATTCGCTATCAGCTACTAGCAAAAGGCAGAACATCTAAAGATCGATCAATAAATCCATAAGAGCAAAGATGCTGGATTTTGCCGAAATTCTTTGCCAAATAATTCAACTGTTGTCTTTGTAATGTTTTTCCAAGATCTGCATATCGGACAATTTACAAAGGAGACAAGATTTCTGATGTGAAGAAAGTGACAAGCTGGCAAAGTGAAATGGAAAACACTCGCCAAGTTTGGTTTCGCGGGCAGTCAATAACTAGATATCCACTGACGCGCAGCGCCTCCGGCTGGAACGACAAAAACTTTCACGTGATCCATCTACTAAACATCCTCCCGAAAGGGTTGGTTAATGTTGCCAAATACGCAGAATAGCAACACTCAAATCAACGGCTTTTTTCAGAACCACCCTGAAACAAGCTGTCCCCTTCAGGGCCCATCAGACTGCCCTTAGCCTAATGGCCCTTCTCAGGACCACCCAAAGCGAACTATCGGTCCCAGGCTACACATACATCCACGCAACATCGAACGCATTTCAGGCGCAAAATGCCATTACTTATGGCAGTCACTCAAGGGCCACAACAATAATTCGTTGCTATCAAATAAATTCACATTAACGGTGAATTTAAGGCACCACGCTTAACCGAACAGCAGTCACAAGATCGTTGTGGTAGTACATCACCAGGAATATGGAATTGCACGGAACTGATACCTTCGTTCGGCGAGACTTATCGGATAGCGCTATGCTCTGTGAAGGAAATTCTAAAGGCATCAGTATGGCAACTGTAAAGGTCGGCAAAATCACCATCAACAGCATATACAAACCGCCAACCTAGTACAGGCCAACACAGCAATGCCGCTAACAATTTACGCCGCAGTTCATGCTGGGAACTTCAACAGTCATCACACCATGTGGGGTTACCTAAAGAAAAAAAGCGTAGTAGAGAAACTGGCAGAATG